GTATGGCTTGATTTTAATAAGTTGAAAGAAATGGACTTGAAAAGCTTGGCGAAAGTGAAAGACGGTGGAAATCGCCTTCAATTAGTGGGTTATCACTAAGGACAAGGCTAGTTCATTTTGAAAAGTTCTTTTTTTAATCAATCTATTGGTCTCCAACTTCCTTCGCAAAAAAATAACATCCCGGCACATTGCTAAACTAATTGTTTGATCATTTCACAGTTTGTGCTCTAAATCACATTTTTCACATAGGTGCGAAAAATGTTGATTAAGTTTATAAATTACACTTGATCATTAAATACTAAATGATGCATATTCAGGGTAATAAATACTTAATGATAGTAAGGCTTCTTTTAATGGATACATAATGTTTAAAACGTCAATTTAAACAATGACCGATTTCTTTTACGCATATAAATAGGTATATTTATATAATTTAAAGACTTCTGCTAAGGTGGGCCTAAAACGTGTCGAATATCGGCAAGAAATTACACATGAACACTCTTCATCTGATTTGATAAAACTGTTAATCTCAAAATTGAAGTTTTACTCAAGTCAAATCCCTTGAATTGTAGTGTTTAAGAGTGAAAATATGGTAAATGTATCCTTATGGATTAATAGCTGTTTTCTTTCAATTTTTAGCCCAAGATGCGGAAAAAGCCGAGCATATTGTGCTTGAATAGGCTGTGCATAGAAGGTATATGTGAATATCTGCGCTTAAATGACCTAATAAGGCTAGCAATTGCAATCCCCCAGTGGAACTGGGTACTGAAGTCAAACAGAATTATGGAAAAAATTCGAAGAATGATGTGGGGTTGGATTTGGTTCGATAGTTACATGTGTGAATTGCTTATGAGAAATAGAACGATGTTTGAAAACGATGATATCAACGCTATTTATCATTACACAAGCTCTGAAGATCTCCGTTACGTCCGCTATTATGGCCCTCACCCATCCGAACCAATATCGATTGTTGTAGTGAAAAACAGCAGTATGTCTTCACCGGCACCATATCTATGTAATGATCCTAGTCAATTTATCCGTAGAATGAAGAGAGAAGCCTGCCTGTTTAGAAGAAGGCATTACATAGACGTCGAAATACGTGAATTTCAAATGGACAAAAATAAAGGAAGTGACTTTCGACCGAAACTCCTTTCAAATGCTATTGTATACATAGAAAGTGAAGAGCGGGACCTTAGAGATAATCTCCCTTTCATAATTGACAATATGCACCCCAAAAGTATGCTCTGCATTTGTTGTGTCAAGAGTGGACGGTCGTCAAAATCGCCTGTGGCTATCCTACGGGGTCTTCTGCTCAAAGTGGGCAACTTTGGAGCCTTTGAACGAGGCAAAGTGAAATCAGACTGGCACCTCTTCTTTATTAGACGTAGAGCGAATAGATATGTGAATATTAATAAGATATTCCATAGAATTTGTAATCATGTAATTAGTAAATTAGGTTATTAAAGAGAGAGAGAATATTACGCTCTTCTAATTTCAAAAAATAAAGACCGCATTCGAGAGAGTGAGAGTTTTGATACTTTAATCACCTTTTGGTTAACTACTGGACACTCCCACCTCTTCCAAAATACTCGCACCACATGTTCCGATTAGCTAATTGATTTCAATCACTTATGCCCTGAGGTACACCTTTATTTCTGTTTAGAAATAGGCAACTATGATTTCTTACTAAGATTAAGGTGTATACTCATTGAGGTGTGCCAGCAGATATTTTAGGCCCTTCTGGCGGACTTGTAACACCCAGTTATCTCACCTATAAAATGTTTATACGAATAATCCTTTCGTACAGAATAACGAAGACCTCAGATAATAAATTTAGTTCGGGACAAGGGGCTTGTGATAGACCTACCTCCACGTGGTGCTCCCTGGGTAGCGTATACTCATTAGGCATAAAATTTTATAAACCGGTAGTTGACTGCTCTCTTCAAACTACGATGACCCCACTGTATGTCATATTCTACCACTTCCACAGTGTTCACCTCACCTTTTTACCTTTGTGTCTGTCTCTTATACATCTGTGAAACACTCTTCTGTTTCCCCCTCTCGAATTTGTTTCACTTTGATGTTCCACCACCTCTGTGAAGCCTGAAGTCAACCAAAGGGCTAATGATAACTATCAAAACACCTACCATTTGATATAGATTAATTAATTAATGTTTGAAACATCCTGTAATGCAAGGAAATAGGTAAGAAGGTCACCAACTTCCAAGTACGAGAAAAGCCTGTTATGATGGAGAACAGCCACACATATTTCCGTCGACTTGGTGCGTTTATAGCTTCGCCTCTCCTTCCCAGGTTTAGAAATCGTTATTTACAAGCAAATCACTCGCTAAAAGAAAAGCACAATTTTGAGTATAATTCCAAAATTTATATGACATCGGGCCACGCTTAAAAGAGATTTGTACTTTTGGTTTGAATGCAATTTAGAATTGAATGAACTAATTTATATGGATTGAACTGAAATTAAGCATTTTTTCCATGGCTGTACAGGAAGAATTGGATAGAATATCAAAAATCTTGAACCAAAACTCATGTCAGCATTTGTTCTCTCTCAATAAAAATCTTTCACGTTGTCTAATCTTTAAAATTTTGCCAAGTCCGGGTGGAAGTTTTATAATTCGTTATCCCGTAAGTTTATGGTATTAATTCCGTTTTTTCTTTGACAGATAAAATGAACACCTATTTCTTCATTCTCTGTAGCCAAACTATCCTAGTATGAGGCCATTATGGACAATTTTATTTGGAAATGAAGATTATCGTACTAGAACCATTAATGATAAGTGCTTTCCAATTATAAGTGAATCGATAACGGAAGCTTTCATTATTTGCGCTTTCGTAGTTATTATACGACTAGAAATGGAAATTCCACCGGATATAATTGATTTAAATCCAGAATTCTACGATAAAGTGAATGATCTTATTATGGACAAGGAGTGAAATTCTTGTACACTTTGATTAAAAATACAAATTTTATAATGGCACATTTTTTTAATATTTTTTTCCAAATCTCTATAATAGCATGGTATAGCATTAGTTACCGAAAAGGGAGATAAAAGCCAAATTTGTAAAATTTTGTATCATATTTCAACACTTTCAGCAAACCTCCTCAACTTAGTATTTCTAATGCAAAAGCCAAATTGGGTCCCAATGGGTTATGCGTCAACTATACTCATCAAAAGAAATTTACCAACATTTATTTATTTCAAATTTCGAGATTTATGATAGTTAACATTACCCCCTTAAGGTGACTTCGGGCGTCACAAAGGGAGGGGGGATATCAAAGTGGGAAAAATTCAAGAGGGGGGAACAGAAAAGTGATTAAAGGATGCAAAAGAGATAGACAGGCACAAGGGCAGAGAAAAGGTAAGGTGAGTATTGTGAAAGTGGTAGAATGTGACATACGGTGGGGTCATGGTAGTTGGAAGTTAGAAGTCAACTGCTGATTAACTGACTTTTTTGCCGTATGAATATACGTTGCCCAGGGTGCCCCACGTGGAGGTAAGTCTATCGCATACCCTAATTTTTAACATAGGACATGTTGAAATAAATTTGTACCATACAATCAAATGAGAGTTAACTATATTTCATTTGATTTTAGTAGCGGCATCGTTAAGTTCAAGTCATTGTTTTAAACTATATTAAAAGAACCAATTTTTCTTTCTGTAAAAACGCATGTTTTATAGTTTCAACTTTTGAACCACTCGCAACAAGGAGAAGTTGATTGAAATTCGCTTAATCCTTTCTCTGAGATCTTCCAATGGAAAATCACTCGTTTATGCGACCATTTGATGTACTTAAGACCAATTAATACCGTTCCGCCACCTCAATTTTCAG